TTTCCATTAAAAATAACATTTATTTAACTATTTTAGTTAAAAAATAATTTTCCCATTAAAAACCTTTAAAAAAAGAAATAAATCGGATGGAAATATATAAAAATTCTCCATGTGTATTTAATTATTATTTTTACATTTTTTCAATTGTACCATTTTAATTCTTTAATTTTTATTTTATCATTTTTATTCAGAAACATTCAAAAGAATTTAAATCAGAATTTAATTTAAACATTTTAAAATTAAACTTCTGATAAAATCAGAATTTAATCGGAACAAGTCTAAAAACAAAAGTTACTTTATTAAAACAAAATCAGAATTTAATCTGAACATTTACCACAATTAAAATTCTGACAAAATCAGAATTTAATTTAAACATTTCACAATTAAACTTCTGACAAAATCAGAATTTAATTTAAACATTTCACAATTAAACTTCTGACAAAATCAGAATTTAATTTAAACATTTTAAAATTAAACTTCTGATAAAATCAGAATTTAATCGGAACAAGTCTAAAAGCAAAAGTTACTTTATTAAAACAAATCAGAATTTAATTTAAACATTTACCGAAATTAAATTTTTGAAAAAATCAGAATTTAATCTGAACAAGTTTTAGAACAAGAGTTACTTTATTAAAACAAAATCAGAATTTAATTTAAACATTTTACTAATTAAATCATTCTAAAACAAACATTTCTTAAACAAACATTTTCTGATATTTTTAATTATTTTAAGAGTGTTGTTGTTTTTGCTTGTTTGTTTGTTTAGAAATAATTATGTTTTGTTTTTCTTTGTTTTACCATAATTTTGTTTTACTTTAATATTTTATTTCAACAAAATCAGAATTAATTCTAAACAAGGAATTAATTTTAAAAAAACAACAAGCAAGATAAAATCAGTATTAGTAAATCAGAATCAAATTTGAACAAAATCAGAATTATTTTATATTTTTCTTGTTTTATTATAAGTTTTTAAAATATCATTTAAATTTATTAAATCATAAAAAAATAATTCTGTTCTTACCAAAATTCAAAGAAAAATTAAAATATAATTTGCGGGCAATTAAAAACATAAAAAATTCTCTAAAATAATTTATCTTATGTCTGAATATTTTTTTAAATTTTTTTTCTTCGTTTAAGCTTTTCGTGCTCTAATTTTTTAAATTTTTTTTATTTTATTTTTATAGCCATCACAAGTTTAACTTTTAAAAAAGATTTCCGCGACCACACACTAAATTTTTTATTTTATTTATTTTTTTTCCACTTTTTACTCGTTAGGTAAATAAATTCTTATTTTTAAATCACTTTTTAAGCTTTTCTTTTGATTTTATCCATGTGTTTCCCCTTTGATGTTTTTGTTGTTTTGAGGAATGTTTTTTAAATGGTTTGGTTTGTTTAAAACCAGAATTAAGTTAGAACATGACCAGAATTAAATTAAAACATGACCAGAATTAAATTAAAACATGACCAGAAATTCATATAAACATAACCAGAATTTAATAAAAACATGACCAGAATTAAATTAAAACATAACCAGAATTTAATATAAACAACCAGAATTATATTAAAGCATGACTAAAAATTTAATCAAAACATAACCAGAATTAAATAAAAACATAACCAGAATTAAATAAAAACATGACCAGAATTAAATAAAAACATAACCAGAATTAAATAAAAACATGACAAGAATTAAATAAAAACATGACCAGAATTAAATAAAAACATAACCAGAATTAAATAAAAACATGACAAGAATTAAACAAAAACATAACCAGAATTAAATAAAAACATGACTAGAATTAAATAAAAACATGACCAGAATTTAAATAAACTTGACCAGAATTAAATATAAACATGACCAGAAATTCATTAAAACAAAACAGAATTATCTCTAAACAAACAACAATTAAATCAGAGTTTTAAATTTAAAAAATTCAAAAATTTACGTATTATTATAAAAATATTTTTTCCGTATTAAATTTTATAAATTACATAAAACCTGATTTTCTCGTGAAAATTGGAGGGATGATGATGTGTATGTACTTTTTAGCGAGCAAATTACTCAATTATAAATTTTATTTTTGGATTTAAAAAATAGAGGAATGTGTGAGCAACAATTTTAAAATATTTTTTGAAAAACAAAATTGATTTGGAATTGTAAAACTTTATTGTAAAACATAAAAAGAATTGTAAACACGTTAAAACTTGAAAGTTCACCACTATGTTTTACAATTATATTTGTTTTATTCTGATTTGTTTTATTTAAATTCTGGTTTTAAAAACTTGTTTATTTTCCAATGTTTTACTTAAATTCTGGTTTTAAGTTAATACATAAATCCTTGATTTAAATATGTTCATTTTTCTTTGTTGTGATTTAATTCTGATTTTAGTTTAAATGTTTTATCTAAAAATGTTTGTTTGTCTTTGTTGTAATTTAATTCTGATTCTGTTCTATTTGAATTCTGGTTGGTTTTAAAAACATATTTAATTTCCCTTGTTTTGATTTAATTCTGGTTTTAATCTAATAAATGTTTATTTAAACATGTTTTTTGATTGTTTTAGATTAATTCTGATGTTTTAATTCTATTCAAACCATGTTTGTTTTCTCTGTTGTGATTGAATTCTGATTTTAGTTTAAATGTTTTATCTAAAAATGTTTGTTTGCCTTTGTTGTAATTTAATTCTGATTTTGTTGTATTTAAATTCTGGTTTTAAGAACATATTTATTTTCCATTGTTTTATTTAAATTCTGGTGTTAATCTTATATACATATGTTTGTTTTAAACATGTTGTTCTTTTCTTGTTTTAGATTAATTCTGATTTTGTTTTAATTTTATGAAAGCATGTTTATTTTCTTTGTTTTGATTTAATTCTGATTTTGTTTTATTTTAATTCTGGCTTTAAAAGCATGTTTATTTTCCATTGTTTAGATTTAATTTTGATTTTAGTTTTAACGTTTTATCTAAAAATGTTTGTTTTTCTTTGTTTCAATTTAATTCTGATTTTGTTTCATTGAATTTCTGGTTTGGTTTAAAAAGATGTTTATTTTCTCATGTTTTGATTTAATTCTGGTTTTAGTTTATGCTTTATTTAAAATTTTTTGCCCTTGTTGTAATTTAATTCTGTTTTGTTTTAATATGTTTAAAATGCTTAAAATTTGTTTAAATTATTATTTTACGAGCTTAAATTATTAAATGCTTGATATCTTTCCTTAAATTCATTTTTCATTAATTTTTCATATTATTTATTTTTTTAGTCTCGATTGCCGTTATTTTCCCACCAAAAAAATTTCCATAATTTATTTTTTTGCTTAATATTTATTTTTTTTAAAAAATGCCAAACAATTTAAAATAATTATTTTTATCGGCATGACATTCCTTTTATTGTTGTTGTCTCTCAAACAATCAAAAAAACTTGAAAAAAATAATTTTTAGAGTGTGGGAACTTTTTTGTTTTGTTTGTTAGCATTTTAAAAATACATTTATTTTTCTAGCACTCAGGATATATTTAAGTGAATGTGTTAGTTTCTACATGCTGTGAAGAGGACGAAAAAAAGGAAAAGCACATTCATTATTTTGTTTTTAAATGACTGATTTTTAGGAAAAATAAAGGGAGAAAATAAAAAATAATTTTTTTAAAGTTTTTGCAATTGTTTTTGAGGGTTTTAGCGGATATTAAAGGAGTTCTAGGAATTTTGAAGATTTATTATGATTTTAAAAGAATTTGGGGGCTTTTCTAATTTTTAAATATTTTCTTAAGTTATTGTAAAAATCTTAAATTATTTGTTAATTTTTACATGTTTCAAGTTTATTATTATTTAGTTCTACAATTGTAATTTTATTAAAATATATTTTTATTGTAATCAGGTTTTTTAGAACATTATGACTGTAATAAGTTTAAACTCGGCATATTACAAATTGTAATTTTATAAAACCGGAATTTTACAAATACTACTAGGTTTTGCAATTACGTTTAGGTTTTATAATTCCAGGTTTTACAATTCTAAGTTTTAAAAATAAGTTTTACAATTGCAGGTTTTAAAAATAAGTTTTATAATTGCAGGTTTTAAAAATAAGTTTTACAATTCCAAGTTTTAAAAATAAGTTTTACAATTCCAAGTTTTAAAAATAAGTTTTACAATTCCAAGTTTTAAAAATAAGTTTTACAATTCCAAGTTTTAAAAATAAGTTTTACAATTCCAAGTTTTAAAAATAAGTTTTACAATTTCAAGTTTTAAAAATAAGTTTTACAATTTCAAGTTTTAAAAATAAGTTTTACAATTCCAAGTTTTATAAATAAGTTTTACAATTGCAGGTTTTAAAAATAAGTTTTACAATTTCAAGTTTTTAAAATAAGTTTTACAATTCCAAGTTTTAAAAATAAGTTTTACAATTCCAAGTTTTAAAAATAAGTTTTACAATTACAAGTTTTAAAAATAAGTTTTACAATTTCAAGTTTTAAAAATAAGTTTTACAATTACAAGTTTTATAAATAAGTTTTACAATTCCAGGTTTTACAATTCAAAGTTTTACAATTCCAAGTTTTATAAATAAGTTTTACAATTCCAAGTTTTACAATTCAAAGTTTACAATTCCAAGTTTTACAAAATAAGTTTTACAATTTCAAGTTTTTAAAGTACTTCCAAGTTTTAGAATTAAAGTTTTATTTGTTGTTAAATTTTTACAATTAGGTTTTACAATTTTAAATTTATTTTTCATTTAAAAATTACAAACTTTTATTTTACAATTATCTATTTTCTGTTTTTATTTTACTATTTTTACCACATTTTACAAAAATTTAAGAAGCCGTCTGATTTAATTTCTTTTAAATTTATCATATGTATATAGTCGTTTATGTAATAATAATTTATTTTTTATTTTTGATTGAACATAAAATTTTGATATTATTTTTATTTATTTTTAGACATTTTATCATTTTTATTTTTTAATATGAATTTATGAATTAAATAGAAAAACTACATTAATTTATTAATTAATTAAATGTCTTCTTTCTTTCGCCGTCATGTTCGTGGCCTTTTAAGAACAACATTTTCTGCTCCTCAATCAACTGAGACTGTAAATTTTATTTTAATAATTATTAAATTTACAGCTACAATATTAAAATTGTAAAATTAAGATTGTAATTTGTTCAAACACAAATTTACAATCGAAAACAGTTTTAAAATTAAAACTTTATGACTGTAATAATATTAAAGGGACAAGCTTAAAATCAGAATATTACAAATTGTAAATTTATAAGAACACAATTTTACAATTGCTAATATGTTTTAGAAATCTAAGTTTTACAATTCCAAGTTTTAGTTTTACAATTTAAGTTTTACAATTATAGGTTTTACTATTCTAGGTTCTATAAATTAAAGTTTTACAATTTAAGTTTTAATTTAAGTTTTAAAATTAAAGTTTTAGAAATCTAAGTTTTACAATTCCAAGTTTTAGTTTTACAATTTAAGTTTTACAATTATAGGTTTTACTATTCTAGGTTCTATAAATTAAAGTTTTACAATTTAAGTTTTAATTTAAGTTTTAAAATTAAAGTTTTAGAAATCTAAGTTTTACAATTCTAGGTTTTATAAATTAATGTTTTACAATTAGTTTTACAATTTAAGTTTTACAATTCCAAGTTTTAAATTAAAGTTTTAAACTTAAGGGTATAATCCCAAGTGTAAATTTAAGTTTTACAATTGTAAAATTAAAATATAAATATTCATCCATTAACTAAATTACAATTATTAAATACAATTTTACAATTATTAACAAATCTTTAAAAATTGTAAAAATTTTACAAATTGTAAAAAATTTTTACAATTCCAATTCTAACAGATATCCTCTATCGCCACGAACAATGCTGATGACGATTTTGACAATCATGATGAATCTGAAGAGGAAAGATTGTTACTATCTTTAGACCATCGTCTCGGACCCGCTGGCACTTCCTCAGAGAATAATTTTCAGACTAGGAATGGAAAGAAGAGACAGAGTGCTCCTGAAGTTTATTCTGTTGGTTTTCTGACAGAAATCCAAAAATAAAAATATTTTTTAATAGGGAAAGACCGGCCTCGATCTTCCCAATATTCATATTGGCCCGTTATCCTTGCCTGTAAAAGCGTGCCATACTGGACCTGAGGGGGGACTTACTTGTGTGCAACCAATGAGGCAGAGAACGATTGCTAAGATGGCAAAGTTGGATGATGAAGAGTTTAGTCTTTCCTCTATGGATGAGGAGGTGAATGAAGAGAAGGAGGAGGTGAGGGAAGAGGAGAATGAAGGGAAGGAGGAAGTGAAGGGGGAAGTGAAGGAAAGGGATGAAGAGAGGGAAGGAGCGAGGGAGAAAGAGAGGGAAGAAGAGAATGAAGAAGTAAAGGAAAGGGATGAAGAGAAGGAGGAAGAGGATAAGGAAGAGGATGAAGAAGAGAATGAAAGGAAGGAAGATAGGGAAGAAGTGAAGGAGGAAAGAGGAGAGAATGGAGAAGAACGGTTCGAGGAAGAGAATGAAGAAGAGAGAAAGGGGAATGAAGAAGAGAAGAAGGGGACTGAAGTGAAAAATGAGGTGATCGAAGAGATGAATGGATTTAGGCCTGTAGATGAAGATCAGGAGGACCTCTCCGGAAGATACCAACAACAAACTCAGTTAATTAAGCCTACTAAAGAAACAAAATTTTTGGAAGTCCCCAAGAAGGAGACTAATAAAAAAATTAAAAAGACAACGAGAAAAAGTAGAGGAGGAGGAAAGGCTCTGATCCAATCAGTGAGGAATTAAAAGCTGAGTAATTTCTAAAATTTAAAAATTAATTAAAGGCCGATTCAATAGAAGCCCTTGGCCTTGTTGGGGTGGACGACTTTTCCCCCTTCCGTAATGGGAGTGCTTTGGAACAACTTGATTGGTCAAGTTGGGATGAGCACCGAGCTTTGGGACTTTCAACATCCTTGTATGAACGCCATCCAGTCAGTGGACTCCCTGCTGGACACCCAATTGCGGATGTTTTTGGAATTATCGCTAGGGAAAATAACGCTATATTGGCGTTGGCTGATGGAGTGAAGTGAGTGAAAAATTAAAAAAGAATTGAAATCAGAATTTTGAAATCAGAATTTAGAAAAATTCTGAATTTAAAAATCAGAATATAAAATTCAGAATTTCTGAAAATCAGAATTAAAAAATCAGAATTAAAAAAATCAGAATTTTTAAAAATCAGAATTTTTAAAAATCAGAATTTTTAAAAATCAGAATTTTTAAAAATCAGAATTTCTAAAAATCAGAATTTATAATTCTAAATTTAGAAAAATCAGAATTAAAATCAGAATTTTAATCACAAAATTAAAAATTTTTTTTCTTTCAGTTGGGGCGAAGGCGCTCGCCTTGCCGCACGTTGCGCAATTCGTGGAGCTATTGACCACTTAAACAATGCCATTGAACGTCAACAATTAAACACTACAAATGAAATTTTTCACTCAATGCTTGGAGCTTTTCATGCAGCACACGCACTTATATTGCAGGAGGGTGGGGCTTTAACTACACTTTGTGTAGCGTTTGTAGCACCAGTTAAAGACTCGGATTCATCTGTGAGAATTTTAAAGGAGAAAATAAAAGAAAATAAAATCAGAATTAAATATGAACAAAAATAAAAACAAAACCAGAATTGAAGAAAAACATTAAATTAAAATCAGAATTAAATCTGAACAAAAGAAAACAAGTTTTAAGGGAAATTAAAACAGAATCAGAATTTTAAAGAGTGTTAATAAACATGAATTTTATTAAAACCAGAATCAAATTTAAACAAAGCCCGATAAACATGTTTAGGTGAGCTTTTATCAATTTAAAACCAGAATTAAATCTGAACAAAAGAAACAAACAAGTTTAAACAGAATTAAAACAAAACCAGAATTAATTCAAAACAAAGTCAAATAAACATGTTTAGATGAATTATTAATTAAAACCAGAATTAAATCTGAACAAAATAAAAACAAGTTTGAACAGAATTAAACTAAATCAGAATTAAATAAAGTCAAGAGAAAATAAGCATATTCAGTATAGTTATAAAAAATCAGAATTAAATTACAACATATACTTAGAATAAAAAATCAGAATTTATCGGAATTATAATTTTAAAACCAAAACAAAAACACACTTAAGAACATAGCCAAAACATTGTTTGAATTAAAACCAGAATTAAATCTGAACAAAAGAAAAACTAGTTTAACCAGAATTAAAACTACTAAATCAGAATTAAATAAAAACAAGAGAAAATAAACATATTTAATAGAGTTATAAAAATCAGAATTATTGGAATTAAATTACAAAAAAACCAAAACATTGTTCGAAATAAAAATCAGAATAAAATTTAAACTTTAGGTACTCTGTGTTTGCAATGTTGGAGATTCATTATGCTTTGTTTACAACCAAACACATGGTGTAAATGAAATAACTCTTGGTTCACACAATATTGCGCAAATGAGAGACATGCGCGACGCGGGAGGTATGGGGGAAATAAAGAATTTAATTTAATAAAACATTTTTAGGCGCCCTCGGCCCTGTAGATGGTCGAAATCCTCAGCTTCACAATTTAACTTGTTCAATGACTTTTGTGGAAAAAGGGGATTTAGTTTTTATTACCTCTGATGGAATATCTGACAATTTTGATCCAGTTGTAGGCAAATTTTGCTCAATTAAAAGGCCACGGGATGAGGCGGAAGAGGAAGTAACTGAAACTATTACCAATGAAAAGGAGAATAATTTAACAACAAATAATCAGCAACAAAGAAACAAGTAAGAATAAAATCAGAATTAAATAAAAACAAAGAAAAAAACATGTTTTAGAGTAAAACAAAATCAGAATTAAATCAAAACAAAAGGAAAAATTTTAAACATAACTGAAACAAAATCAGAATAAATTATAAACACAAAGAAAAATAAACATGTTTAGATGAGGCAGTGATTTTATTCGAACAGAATAAAATCAAAACAAATAATAAACAAACAATCAGAATTAAATAAAAACAGAATAAAAACATAATCATGTTTAAATAGAATCAAACCAAATCAGAACTAAATCAAAACACGGGCAAATAAACATGTTTAGATGAAGCTTTGTTAATTTAAAACCAGAATTAAATAAAAACATGAAAGTTTTGGAAACAAAAAATCAGAATTTAATCTGAACATGCCTAAATAGACTATATAGAGTTATAAAATCAGAATTAAATCAAAACAAAAAAACATGTTTAGGTTTAAAACCAGAATTAACTAAAAACAAATTTTCCCCTCTAGTACTTCTTCAACGCTTCTTCCCCCTCCCTTTCACAAAACAAAATCAGCACCAGCTTCAAACATTGAAAATGTTCGCAAACTAATTAATGGCACACATCAACATATTTCTTTACAAAAACCTCCATTGCAAAATACAAATAATAATATTAATAATTTAATTCCTTCACCTCTTCGAGAAATGAAGCGACGACAGCCGGCAGCAACTCTTCCCTTTGTTGATGCACCACAAAGACACGAGCTTATGTTGTTGAGAATGAATGGTATTTTAATATAGTAAAAAATCAGAATTAAAGTAAAACAATGGAAAATAAACATGTTTGGACGAAATATACAAATCAGAATTAAATTACAACATTGAAAAAATATGTTTAGGGGAATAAATCAGAGTCAGAATCAAATTAAATTAAAACAAAATCAGAATTAAATTAAAACATTGAACAAAATATGTTTTAGAACAAAGCAGATTCAGAATTAAATTACAACATTGAAAAAACATGTTTTAGTCAGAATAAAACAAAATCAGAATTAAATAAAAACATGAGAGAATAAACATGTTTACGACCAGAATTTAAATAAAACAAAATCAGAATTTAATAAAAACAAGAGAAAATAAACATGTTTACGACCAGAATTTAACTAAAACAAAATCAGAATTAGATCAAAACAAAGACAAACAAACATTTTTAGAAGAATAATAAAATAATTCTGATTTTTAGATATCATCTCAAATGGCCTTTGTATTCCCCATGAGCATCAACAAAATTCCCCCCAAGAAAGAAGGCAAATTAGTGCAGTTGAATTATGCAACAACCTTGTCCAATTTGCCTATAAATTATCATCTGCTAAAAGGCATACTTTAGAAGACCCAGAACTTTATCGGGTAAAAAAATTATTTTTTAGTTGATTTTTATTTAATTTTAGACCCGAACACATTCCAGAACAGAGGAGAGATTAAGAAGAAAAATGATTAGGAACATGATTATGGAGTAAATTTTAATTAAAAAATTATTCTGATTTTTTAATTCTGATTTTTCAGAATGCCCGGAAAACTTGATCACGCCTCTGTGGTTGCTTACCAAGTTGGAAGTGAGTGGCCAATGACAACTGAAAGAGAAAATGATGAAAAAACAATTTTTGAAGAGTCTCCAATAAATAATCTAAAAATAGAGGATTTGGAGATTAAAGAGGAAAATAAGGAGGAAAATGTGTTTAATAATACTATTAATCCAAATAAACAATCTGTTGCCGTTCAATGTTCGTGGAGGCCTCCAACGGTGTTTATTTTTTGATTGTTCTTAGTGAATTAAACCAGAACAAAATTAAAACATGATTATAATTAAATCATAATAAGATTCCAACATGTTGTAACAAAATCAGAATAAAATTAAAACTAATAGTTAACAATAAACTTGCAACTTAATCAGAATTAAATTAAAATAAAATCAGAATTTAATTAAAACAATCAGAGTAAATTTCGAACATAATTTTTTTAAATCAGAATAAATTTGCAACAACGGTGTTTATTTTCTGAATGTTTTGTTTTAGGGGAATTAATATTAGTGTAATTAATATCAGAATAAAATTAAAACATGCTCAGAATAAAATCAGAATATGTAAGGGTGCTTTAGCAAAACCAGAATTAGATTAAAACATACACATTAAAATTAAAACACATCAGAATAAACTCAGAATAAAGCTAAAACACAATCAGAATAAAATCAAAATAATGTCGCAACAAAACCAGAACAAAACTAAAACATATCAGAATAAAATTCAAACAATTTATAGGCTGCATTTTCACGTTCATCCAAACATCCACAACAATACACACAAAATCAACAAACATATAATACAAACACAACAACACAAACAAAAACATTTAACACAATAAATATATCTAACAACATTATAAATAATCAACAAAAACATCAAACAAACATTAAAGAGAAAAGGTGTTTGACAGACTTGTCCCCCTCCAAAATTGTTCCGGTAAAAACATTTGAAGAAAAGGATGTTTTGATTGGGTTAAAAACGAAGAAAAATGTTGAGAGGAATGTTGAGAGGAATGTTGAGAAAAATAGAGAAATAAATACGAATAAAAGTCCATATGAAGAATTACCTCGTTTTGGAGAAGGGGAGGAAGAAGATAATAGTCAAAGTGAAAATTATGAAAATAAACAAATATTGAATGGAGATAAGGGGAGAAAAAGGCAATTTTAATAATTAAATAATTAATTAACTAATTTAAAATTTAATTTAGTAAGCGTCGTCATGGGAGAGGTTCCTTAGCGAGGCATACACTAGGTGTTGATGTTAGTTGGTTAAAACGCCTGGTAACAAACAAACATGGAATTACAGAAGAAAATAGCAACAATAAACATGAGAACAACAAAGAGGAGAAAAACAGAGAAGAGAAAAACAACAAACAAAACAAACAGGAAAACAGCGAGAAAAACATCAAACAAAACAACAACAAACAAAACAAACAAGAAAACAACAAACAAGAGAAAAACAACAAACAAAACAAACACGAAGACAACAAACACGAAAACAACACACAAGAAATCAATCTCAACAACAACAAATATTTAAATAATATCAAAACACAACAACAACAACACAAACATTCCCCTCCAACATTAAATAGAAGTAACAACAAACATGAAGAAGGAGAAACTACACGTTTTTCCTCAACATCCTCCTGTTCCTCTACAAATTCACAAAAACAACAAAAACACAATCCAAGATTGGATTCCTTTGATTTGATAAATAAAAATTTAAAAAAGGGAACATCCACAATTTCTTCTTTACGTAAAATTAAAGCGGCGTTTGCTAGTAGACCAAGTTCTGAAAGGCGCCAAATAATTACCAACAAAAACAATAATTTTATTTTAAATCAACAACAACCACCAAATACAACGAATTCTTTAATTGTTTCTGTTGAGCTGGGTGGGAATTTACAACAACAATCTTTACAACATCAAAGGTGTTGAATTTTAATAGTGTTCGTTGTTTGTTTTGTTGAGACTGTGTTTCATGTTTGTTTGGGATAGTTATTTTGTTTAAACATTTTGTTTCCAACATTGTTTTTTCCAACTTTGTTTAGCCAAACCTAAAACAGAATTTAATTAAAACCAGAATTTATAGAAAACAAACATTAAATATTTAGATAGAATTCTGATTTGTTTTAGAAAACAAACGTTAAATGTTCAAATAAAATTCTGGTTTCTAAAAACGAACCTTAAATGTTTAGATAGAATTCTGATTTGTTTAGAATACGGATATTAAATGTTCAAATAAAATTCTGGTTTTTTAAGTATGAACTTTAAATGTTTAGATAAAATTCTGATTTGTTTCAGAAAAAGAATATTAAAGGTTTTGATAAAATTCTGCTTTTCTAAAAACGAACTTTAAATGTTTAGATAGAATTCTGATTTGTTTTAGATTACGAATTATTAAATGTTTAAATTAAATTCTGTTTTTTAAAACCAACCTTAAATGTTTAGTTAGAATTCTGATTTGTTTTATAAAACAACGTTAGATGTCTAAAAAAAATTTGATTATAATATTATAATATAACCTAAAACAAAAACCAGAATTTGTAAATCGTTGTTTTTTAAAAAAATTCTGGTTTTATTAAACATTAAAAACAGAAAACAAGTTTTGAATTAAAACAGAATGTTTAGATGTTGTTTAGTTGATTGTTTGTGATGTTTATTTGTTTTTCGGATATTTGTATGAGATTCTGAAATTTTCTAAATTTGTTTGGCTTGTTTGAATGTTTGTTCGAAATTGTTTTTATTTATTATTTGTTTATTTATACATTTTTAATTTTATTTTTAATGTTCAGATCACTAAGTCAATGTTATTGTCGCTCCATTCCACCTCCTCTTTCTTCAACTGATCTAGCAAAAATAAAAGAATCTTCAATTTCCAATTCATCACCTCCTTCCTCTGCTCCCCCAATATTAAATAATAAATTAAATCATCGTTTTATTCAAAATGGAAATTTAAAATTTAATTCAACAACTGATAAAAACATTGCTGTGCCAAGAATGGGGATTAGTGCTGGGGCTGGTGGCGTTAATTAATTTTGAGTGAAAATTTTTGAGAGAAATTTTTTTGCCATTATATTTTTTTTATAAAATTTTTTTGCCATTTGTTCAAAATTGTTAGGCATATCAGTCTTTATCTTGTAATATTTTTTGGACTTCTCTTACAAAATGTATACACTAGAGTTTCACCGGAAGTTTCGGTTCCGGTTCCGGTTAAAATTTCGTTCCGGTGAAACATTAATGTATACATTAGAGATTAGAGACAGGACCAGGGGTGAGCGTAAGAGGCAATCGTGAAAAATCAAAACGCAAGCCCAAAAATTAACGCAAAAAACGTAAAGTGCAATGCGCTCACCCCGAGACCTAGACGAGATCTCGTTCAAAAATCTCGGTTATCGAAATCGAGAATTTTTCGAGACCTCGATTCTCGTACGAGACACTCCCAATCCTTTTCTACTAGAGATTATACTTGAAGACCAATCGAGCTCATTATGTTAGAAAATAACTCGATAACCTTGATTTAGGGATGGCCAGACTAGGGATGGGTCAGATTGAGAAAAAATAGTGTCAAGTTTTCAGCATTTCCTTAGGACCGAGGGGAGGATTGAGTCACATTTACTACCATATATATTTTTTGCCTCTCTTAATTTGCCAAAATCGACCGTATTTCTTCTATTAAAATGTCCCTCTTTAATAGAGTCGCCCTCTCTAATAGAGTGGCCCCTGGAGAATGATTGAAAAATAGAATGACTGGCCAATCTATTAGAGGAATACGGTATTTTATAAATTTTTTTCAAATTGCTGCCACAAACCTATACATCTTTTATTATATTTTTCAAACTTTTTTTTACTTAAATATTTAAATTACACAAAATTTACTTAAAAAATTACAAAAAAAAATAATTTAAATTTTATATTTATGATATTCTGCAATTTATAAAATTTTAAAAAATGCTTTTATTAAATTAATAACCTCTCTTTTTATTGTATTTTTAAAAGATTAATTACTTGTTGCTTTCAATAAATATTTTTTAAATTTTGAATAAATTTTAATTTTTTTAAATATCTTTTCCAAGATTTTCTTTTCTTACAGAGTTGTCCAAACCAAAATTTATACCGTTCAGTTATCCCTGGTTTCAGTAACGAGCGATTTTCTGGATTAAATACCGTCTCAGGACTTATTTTAAATTACCACTGATTACGTGCCACAGACTGCCAAATTTTTAAGCCTACCAGTTGAGGGAACTTTTTTAAAATATCCTGTCATTAGGAGGTGTATCTTTTATTTATTTTAACTTTTTTATATCGCTCCGAAAAAAAGGAAAAAGGGCACATAAGTGCGAAACGAAACGAAATTTCGCCCATCCCTGGTCAAATGGTCATACTACCCTACCCGTCTAGTTCTGATTATTAAAGACTTGCGAGATTGTTATGTATCGACTTGCGGTGTGTCCGATACTAACAGAAAGACTAACCAAAGACTAACTATCAAAGGTTTATCACAAAGGTAACAATACAATGGAAATAGGCGAGACTATGCGCTGGAGTAGAATGTAGCTTTGACTACGGACTAAGACTGACTATAGACTGACTCAAGACTCACAAGACTAACACTAGATTAACACCCACTACTACTAAAAGGCTGCGCCTTTTATACTAAGCGCGCCACCCTAACACCTCCCTTCTTTAATTAAGTCGGGACTATGTGCCGACTTTTTCCAACTAGACTTGGTGGACTTCAAATACTACTACACTCCAACACAAAAAAAATCAAAAAATACAAAGGGCCAAAATACAAGGTGAGCAACAAAGGGGAGATACAATAATTACAAACAAAAAATTACAACAACAATATTATCACAAATCTATTTACTTCCTACTTACATCTCCCATCTACTTCTATCGTCGCTCGTCACAGTGCTCCCTTGCGTTGGCTCATCTTTTGGCCTCGTCGCGTTCGGTGTTGCCGTCATTGTTGGTGCTTCCTTCAAATTGGAACTAGACTCCAATTGACTGCGAGGTTGACCATGTGTCGAACCTTGATTACGGCTTTCATCTGACTTCAATGACTTTGGCCTAATTTGCCATTCTTCGCGACTGACTATGGCTCTCAGCCTTGGGACTTTGACTTTATATCCATCCACGAATTTACTCAGAATAGTCCCAGGCAACCATACTTTCTTGCCATTTTTGCTCCTGTTCATGACTAAGACTTCGTCGTCTTCTTTGAATCGACTAGAATTTCCCGAATAATTTGACTTTCCCTTTAAAAATCCTGACTTTGTCGAGCCTTGAGTAACACGACTACTCTTCGGCCTATTCGACTTTTTACTCTTTCGATTCTTTTCCCGACTAATCTTTCTACTATTCTCCTTCAACTTCGGGACTTCTATCGTCAGAATATGTGGGACTGAAGAATCAACTTCTACTTGATTTACTTCTGGACTATCGACTCTCTTAAACCGTTTCTTTGGTTTCCTACAATCTCGACTAATGTGTCCGACTATTCCACAATTATAACACTGACGTGATTCAACTTGGCGTTCTTTTTGCCTTGACTTAATTCTTGATCGCTTCGACTTTCTGCTCTGACTATGTTCGATCCGACTAACAGCATTTACTTCAACGAACTCTTTAGGTCCACTCTTGACCTTCGGCTGACTTTCGAACATTTTCGCTTCCGACTTATTACTCAAATAACTCCTAACTTCCTCCATCAAATCCTTCAACGTGCAGACTTTCGACTTCGCATACTTCTCTACAAATCTCAGACTTATCTGCCTTACATCCAGCGCCTTTTCTGGAGTGCCCGCTATAAAAACTAGAATTTTGCATTCCTCGACTGTCAAGTCCATATTCGCTTTCTCGCATTCTGCATTGACTAGAGTCCCGAAATCTAGAATTTTCTCTACTGATGGGCATCTCATCTTCATGACTTCGAATCTTTTGACTATTTTTGATCTTGGGTCACTGAACTCCCTTTTCAGTACCTCGACTAGACTTTCGAAGTTCATTTCTTCTAAACTTTCCGGCATCATCTTCTGCGACATTTTCGCATACTCGACTCGGCCCAGCTTTTCGACTAATAATCGGACTCTGACTTCTTCTGCTAAGGACTGCGCGTCTACTTCAAAGTAGGACTTGTTCTTAGTATACCAAGACTCA